CACACACACACACACACACACACAAACACTAGTCGAAGGGGATAAACAGTCGTCCTGGAATCAGACCTACCTGCCCACTGCTTATGGATCTGGGTGCCCCCTTTACCCCTCTGAGCTGGTTTTCTTATTAGCTCATCAGGAATCACCTTTAAGCAGCAAACATCCGTGCACCCTGTTCCTGTGAACACGAAATGAGATAATGTCTCCAAAACACTGAGAGGCAGTGATGTCAGTCTGCATGCTGGATTCAGGCCATGGTCTTTTCAATCACTTGCTCTGCAGCTGAGATCTGGACAATGAGCAGAGATGATAGAAGAATTAATGTCTTTGAGCCGTGGTGTTGGAGAAGAGCACTGCATATCCCATGGACTTCCAAAAGAACAAACATAATGTCTTGGAGAAGGTGCAGCCACAGTGCTTCTAGGAGGCAAAGATGGCGAAGCTTCATCTCTCGTAGTTTGGGCATGATCCTAAGAGAGAATGTTCCTTGGAAAGATAGAGAAAGGGTCAGGGAAAGAGAGGAAGACCACCTTTGAGATGGATTGACGCAGTGACTAGAGCAATGGGCTCAAGTGTGTCAGAGGTGATGAAGATGGCACAGGATAGGACAGGGTTCAGATCGATTGCTTGTAGGATTGCTGTGAGTTGAACTTGACTCAATAGCACCTACAACAGTAACAATAAAAACAACCACCTAGTGCAGCGATCTAAGCACAGGTGTACTATCACTGGTAACAGCCCTGCAAATGGATACAGAGGCTCTTTCATGCACTGGCGTGATGAGGAGATGTTCCTTCGATGTTCTAGGAGAAATCAGGAGGAAGGTAACACTGCAGGGTCCGTTTACTCATGCTTATCAACAACTACCAATTCTGCCCAGTCCTGGCTCTGTTGCATCTCAGGCTGTTTGTCAGTAATTTCTACTGCACATGATACTATATATGAGAATTAGGTAGTAACTGGAGGAGGAGGACAGAAGGAGGGTAGGCAAGAGCAGTAGAATGACCCCTCTACGACCTCCACATGGTCACGTGGGGTCACAGAGTAAACCTCGCTGGACCAGGGGGTGGTCAGAAAAGAAGAGCGCAGCATCATCCAGCAACATCAAAGAAAACCAGAGTGAAGCCTCCCTCTGGTCTTGTTTCCAGATTCTTCCCAAGTACGGCGCCCTGGTAGCACTGTAGGTTAAACAGTGGGCTTCTGTCTAAAAGGTCGGTGGTTTGAATCCACCAGCCACTCTGCTACTGTAAAACTTTTGACAGGAGACACGAAGGGAAGAGTCTCCTCTGTGCTGCAGACTAGTGGTGATTCAGAATTGTCTCCACAGCAGCGGGCTTGGATTTTTGGTGAGGGATCATATTGTTTGCTCTCTCCATCTCCTTGCCTGGCAATGGGAGGCTCGGCCCAAAAGTCCATTTACCCAGTTGGCTCTTGGTTTAGATGCCAGTGACTAAAACAGGCTCTCTCTGCTCCTGCCCCGCATGCCCTCCTTCTTGGCTGGAATCTGTAGCAAGTTTTCATCAATGCCTGGAACTCTGGTGACAAAAGACAGACACACAATCACACTATTGTTAGTCAAATAATGTCAAGGTGTTGAGCGCAGGAGGGGTTGGTTGTAACTTATCCAGAGCGACTATAAGAGAGAGAACACAGAAGAATCATTCAACAAACAATAATTTATTCTTTTATAATTTAAGAAGCCAGAAGTTTGACTGCAGGGTACCAGCGCTCTCAGCTATAAGGCCCTCCCTCGCTGCCAGTTCTGAAAGAAGGTTTCTGTTTCCCTCAGCACCCCTATTCCTTGAAGATCTCTGGGTGCCCTGACCTTCCTCGGTCAATCCATCTCACCCAGAGCCTTCTTCTCCTGCTCTGACCCTCCACTCTCTCAACTTCTTGAGGATGCTTTTAACAGGGATAAAGCAAACACGTAGAACTGGCCCTGGAAATGCCTGATTATGCGAGCCGTGAAGCCAGGCCAGCAGAGCCTACCATACATGGTTGGTCCAGTTCTATGTCTTTAACCTCTACTGCAAGCAGAGAAAGGTGAGTGTAGATGTCACTTACACCTCTGACCCCTCTCCCCTAGGTTTGTGTCTGGCTGTCCCAGAAAGAACCGTGACGTGGTGCACCGTGTCAGATCACGAGGCCAGAAAATGCGCCAGTTTCCGTGACAATATGATCAAAGTCCTTCCAGTGACTGGCCCCTTTGTGAACTGTGAGAAGAAAGCCTCCTACCATGAGTGCATCGAGGCCATCGCAGTAAGTCTCTTGTCCAGAGGAGGGTGGGACAGAAGCTGTACATTGCTTCAGAGCATCCCTGTCCTGCAGGAATGGATCATGTTGGAGGGAGAAAAAAGCAATCCATAGACCTCAGAGTGCATGGACGCTGAGTGTAGAGAGACATAGATGCCCAGCCTCCACTGACAGGAGAGAAAAGACAGGTGAAGCAAAGGACAGAGGAAAGACAGAGAAAACATCAAGTGATGGGCAGAGAAGAGGCCAAGCTCCATGAAAGTATCTGTATTAAAGCAGAACCAGCGTTAGTTACACTGAAGGAAAAAAAATTCTTAAGACTCAGAAATAAACAAGAAGCTCCAGTATCTTTGCCTGTTTTGTAACTGGATTATTAGTCCTTTTTTTTTTTTTTTTTGTCTCTTTTTCTGGAGGCCCCGGAGTATTCTGTAAACTTTTGTTCTCACACTTTTCCAGCGGGGACCTGAAAAGTTTGGGTAATGATGGGTAAGATCCAATGGTGATTGGTTTCCTAAAACATAATACATCGGGAATGATTGTATGAAACACAACATGAATAAGGAATAGTGTGAAACACAATGTACATGAACTTTGTGAGCAAACTAATATAAAACCCCCCGAACAAAACAAACAGACAAAAAAGCGAGCAGGGGGAGGCGTAGGGAGGAAAATGTGCAGCAATGAATGAGTGAAAAATCTACATTTCTGTAAAGTTTTGTTAAAATCACAATTAAATTTTTTTTTAAATAAGAAGTTTCAATATCACTACTATTACTAAGTACTGTTTTTAGGATGCCCCAACAACCTAACAATAATAATAATAATAACAATAAATGCATACAAAAAAGGAATTAGCAACAATTTCAGTACCTTTTCATTTAGTTGCATGCCTAGAAAGAGAAGTGGAATCATGAGTCATGTGGTTATAGCTTTTTTTCCTTTTTATTATATAAGAAGATTTTCCTTCTTATCTTCCTGCCCGAAGAATAATTCATTCTGTTAACTTTTCTTTAGCTTTTTAGTTTTTTTTTGTTTGTTTGTTTTTGGTTTTTTTTATGTGTGTACCGTCAAATCGGATCTGATTGGTACAAGAGGTGATTGTTCCTCCTTCTTCAGCAGAGCGTCTGGTGGATTTGAACTGCACATCTCTGGGATTGCAATGCAGCCTCTTGCCATTAGGCCACCAGAGCTCGCCAGCTTTTTAGTTTTTAATTCAGTCATTGTTGTTCATTATCTCTATCATTCTCCCCCCAAGTCTACTTTGCAATGCACCTCTTGTTCTAAATTGATGTTGTACATCTATTGTCTAATCATATTTTCTATGAGACAGTTCTTCTCATCTGTTCCAATGTAGTGTTCATTATCTATCTACTCTTCTCCTATTATCTCTTTAGCTCCCCCCCACCAAGTCAGTCCTATTTTGTAACATTGGTGTTATACAGTATTTGTCCTTTTGTGAGTATTTCATTCAGCATAATGTCCTTCAGGTTCATCCATGTTGTGTAATGTTTTATGAGTTCGTTGTTTTTCAGTGCTGTGTAGTATTCCATTGTGCAAATGCACTATTTTTTTTCTTTTATCCATTAGTTTGCTGGTGGGCATGTGGGGTGCTTCCATCTCTTTGCTATTGTGAATAATGCAGCAATAAATATGAATGTGCATTTCTATCTTTAAACTATGGCTCTAGTTTCTTAGGAGTTTATTCCCAGTAGTGGAATTACTGGGTCAAATGGTGTTTCTATTTTCAAATTTTTATTTTTTAAAATTTTTTATTATTATTATTATTATTATTTTTGTGTGTGTACCATCAAATCAGATCTGACTGGTACAGGAGGAGATTGTCCCTCCTTCTCCGGCAGAGCATCTGGTGGATTTGAACCGCATACCTCTGGGGTTGCAGTGCAGCTTCTTGCCACTAGGCCACCAGAGCTCTCCTTATTTTCAAATTTTTGAGAAAGTGTCAGACCACCTACGATAGTGGCTATTCCATTTTCCATTACCACTGGCCATGAATAAGTATTGCAGTCTCTCCACAACCTCTCCAACATTTGTTGTTTGCTGTTCTGTTGAACTTAGCCCCATGGGATTTTGTTGCTGGAGTGAGAAGATAGCTTATAGTTGTTTTGATTTGCATCTCCCTGAGAGCTAGGGATTTTGAACATTTCTTTATGTGTTTGCCATCTGAATGTCTTCTTTGGTGAATATTTTGCTTTTTTAATAGTTGTCCTTTTGTGTCTGATTTATTTCACTCAGCATGCTATAACTATTTTGAATCAATAAATAGGTTTGCTAAAAGAGAAACACGTCAAAACTAGTGTCATCTGCATATGCCAAAAGACATTAGTTAAGGAAAAAGAGCTCAAAATTGATAGCCTATTTATAGTAAAAACAATAAATAGGAAAAAAATTATACAAGAGTCCTGAAGTACTGTTACAAATGTATTTCACAACTTTTGTGACAAAGGAACTAAATTTATTAGTAAATATAAATTTTAATAAAAAGAAAAAATATGAGAGATGCCACTTCTGCTTCCAAATTATATCCTCAGACAACAAAGTATCCTGTATTGTTTTTGCAATAGTCTTACAGAGTAACTGCATACAATTGTTGTTGTTGTTGTTGTTACATGCCATCAAGTCGCTTGCGACTCATAGGATAGTTTTAATCAAAATTCAGCTCTTTGTCTTTTTAAGAGTGATTAAATAGTTATAAAATCTTTCAGGACAAGCACAGGATTGACAATATGAAAGAGAGTTAAGAACAAAAAGGTAGCAAGGGGTTGCTGAATTCTACCTACTGCTGTTATATATTTTTCTGTTACTTGCGGCTGTGCCGGAGAAGGAAGGGCAGTCTCCTCCAGTGTGATTAACTGCCTCTGAAAACCCGCCGCAGGGTCAGCTCCGACTTGACAATACACAGCAACATTTGTTATTAAGTTGATTCCAGTTCGTGGTGACCCCCATCTATGTGTGAGTGTTCCTTGACAGTTGGCCTAGGCAAGTCTTCCTCTGAGGAGGGGCTTCAGTGTGGTCTGTTCTCGTGTCTTCCAGGCAAAGCAAGCAGATGCTGTGACCCTCGAAGCAGGGTGGATCTATGAGGCAGGCCTGGCCCCGCACAACCTGAAACCCATCGTGGCTGAGTTCTACGGCTCCAGAGACAGTGAGTTCTCTCCTGGGATCCAGGTGTCTGTGCTCATGCTGTAGCCACGGACGAGGCAGGTTCTTGGTGGACTTGCCCTTTGAGACAACACGGTTGTCACTGATATAACTGGCACTAACCCATGAGGTCTACGGGATTGGCTCTCGCTGGGAAGCTGTGAATTTGTGCCCTGGGTAATGGAGGATTGGCTGGTGGTGCTGCTTGATCGGGGTGAGGGGGAGGTGGTATCTGGGGTCCATCACCCACCTAGTGGGGTACAGTCATGGGATGCCCACCTCTGGAGACATACAGGAACTTTGGAAACCCCTTCGCTGTGTTAAGTCACCTGCAGGCATGGCAGAGCCCATGCCCTACATCTTTCTGTGTGGAAGGTTCTGGGGCCGTCAAAGACTAAGACTTTATCTTTTTCTCATATTTTTTCCCCATCAGAGTCATTGGGTAGGAGCATAGCTTACCTTTGACTACAAATTGCAGGACTTTGGGGACATCCTTACATGATGGGATAGGATAGAACAGGGTCCAGGTCTGTTGCTATAAGTTGTACTCGGCTCAGTGGCATCTAACAACTAACTCTATCCTTTCACTCACATCCTCACCTTCTGTCTGGGCTGCAGATGGAGAAGCAGGGAAGGGGACAGAATCCTTTGGTATAAACTTAACAAGCAAACTTGAAAAGCCTTTGCCATCAGACCAGAGCTTACTCCTAGCTGTCCATTGGGTTTCCAAGGCTGTAAATTGAGTGGGAGGAAATGGCCTGTCTGTGGGCTCCTGTAGAAATGCTGGTGGATTCCAAGTCCCAGAGATGTATAGATGTGTAACCTATTAGTTAGTGCAAGTCTTTAAGAGTTAGGGCACCAGAACTCCTGAAGCTGAGCAGAAGCAGAAAAAGAATGTGAAGCTCTGTTGGGGCTCGGTTCCTTAGGGGGGATGTCCCTCAGGTTTTGTCTTTGCAGATAGACTAAAAAAAAAAAAGCAACCAAAAAAACAAACAAACAAAAAACTGACCCTGAAACAAACTGAAAGACGTTAGTTTATTGGGACAGGAAACTTACAAACCAGGGAGAAGATACCGGGTTGCCCAGCACTGGTGGCAGCAGGCTGGAAATTTACTACCAACGATGGGGGGTTCGGGGGAAAGCAGCTGTATTAACTTCCACACAAACAGACCCCAGTGCATAGTGAAATTAAGAATCACACAGACTGATGGGGGAAAGTTAGCAATACAAAAGCTTAGTTTAGGGGAAGGAAAAAAGCCTTCTGTCAGCTTGATAAGACAGAGCAGTCGGTTTGCCCTCATTCTGGGAAGAAACCAAAAAAAAAAGAAAAAAATCCAAATCCAGTGGAAAACCAAGTGTGAAAAGACTGGGGCAGTTTAACGTGAGCGTAGCCATTCTGGGGTGAGTGCGAGATATGCCACACAAGCGGGCAGCCTTCTTAGGAACATCTTGCCTGGCTCCTGTCTCCCTCCTGGTTTGGAAAAGCTGGCAGGAAAAGGGGCTGGTTTAAACGGCTTCAAAAGGGACAACTGTCTTTTCCTACTAGGAAGGTTTGTGTTTCAAAACCAACCTGTTTCAAGGGTGGTTTTTCTTTTCTCTTCTGTGTGTTTGTCAAGGGAGATGGTGTAGGCAGTTGGATGCCCCCCCCCCACAACCCCAGGCTCCCTTTTGCTACCCTCCAGAAGGACTAGTGATGATAAGGCTTCCTCCTTTGCCCCTCCCCTTCTCCCTGTACCTTTTCAGGTCCACAAACCCACGCTTACGCCGTGGCCGTGGTGCTGAAAGGCAGTGGCTTCCAGCTGAACCAGCTGCAAGGCAAGAAGTCCTGCCACACGGGCCTGGGCAGGTCCGCCGGGTGGATCGTGCCCGTCAGCTCGCTTCTCTCCAGCCTGCCAGAGCCTCACATGCCAATTGAGAGTGGTAAGCTGGCAGGAGGGCCAGTGTGTTTAAGGCAGATGTCTCTGTCCCTGTTGCCCACACCGGCCACCTCGGGTCACAGGGTCACTATTTCTCTACGATGGGGGTGAGCATGTGTGATACGGGGTGGGTGGTGTTGGGGAAGAGGAAATCTCCAGCTTTGAGCCTGAGATAGGATTCCCTTGGGAGTCTTCCCTCAACAAAAGTGCATCTCCGAGCCCCACATGCCTGGATCTGTCCCTCTGAGCTCCTGATAGTCCTGCATGCCTGGTCACCCCAGTGGCTTGACTTAACCAAGGCCACCACTGAGAAAGGGAACCTTCCCTCAGAAATGCCAGAAGGCTCAGGAAGGAAGGAATCATACCCACTTTGCACCCGTGACCGGGATGTCAACAGCTTGGGTCAGGGCGTGGGACACCAGCAAGAAAGGGGTGAGTGGGCTGGAGATATGACAATTTATGTAATCCAGTCTTCTGCTGGGATAGCCAATATGAATGAGCCTCAGGGGGTATTTTCAGCCTTCAAGAGGCGATGCCAAATCTTTCTGGGAAAAGTGCCCCTTTGGGAGCCTGCCAACATTCATTCAGCATTTGTATTTGGACTGTGACAGGAATAAGGGGACGCTGACACTGGTGGCATGCTCGAGCCTGGGCTACAGCCCTGAGCTCATGTTCTGCCCCTCCTTGGGGTCCCTGCTGGCCTCAGAGTCAGGCGGTCATGCACCCCAGGACATCTCTCTGGACAGTTACGTGGTGGCTCTTGGCATGGCTCCCAGCTCCTCCACAGATTCTCAGAAGAGGGATTGCCATGAGCTGCTGCAAGTGCTTGCTTCAGGGAGGTGGGTGGGACAGGCGGAACTGTGGCCTGAGGTGAGGGAGGGTGGGAAGGGTGGCCCCCCATCACATATTCGTTGTGCCCCTGCAAGTCCTCGCTAGTGGGTTAACCAAGGCGAGTGGCTCGTGGGCTGCAGTTTTGATTCACATTGTACTTGGAATGGACAAAGTGAAGAAACATTCTTATGCTCTCCGCCCTGGCCGGCCCACAGGGGTCCAGCCATGCACTGCCCCAGCACAGCCGTCTCCAGCTCAGGTGGGCTGCATGCACATAGTCCGAGCACCCTCACTTCCGTGGACCACCCTTGGAAGTGTCAGCACCTCCGTGGATCTGTTAGGGGCTGCCCCGCTCTAACATGCGCCCAGAACAAGGCTCACGCCTGTGGTCCATTCTTCTCTGTTGAGCAGCGGTGTCCAAGTTCTTCTCGAGCAGCTGCGTCCCCTGTGCAGATCCAAAGAGCTCCCCCAGCCTGTGTCAGCTGTGTGCGGGGTCAGGGACAGCCAAGTGCGCCTGCAACTCCCAGGAGCCTTACTTCGGCTACTCAGGCGCCTTCAGGTGAGTGACACTCTCTGTTGTCCCTTCTGAAGACGGGAGGGAGGAGCCGTGGGAGCAGCCTGGGTCTGTCTGCACCCTGCTCCACGCCGGGCATCAGTGTAAAACCGAGGAGCCAACGTCCCCCACAAGCATGGACAAGCCTTGTTTCCAACCATCTCGAGGCTACTCTTTTATTATTATTATTAATGAAAATTTACAGAGACTTTGGATTTCCATTCATTGTACTTTTTCTCCTTGCCCACCCCTCCCCCCAGTACACTCTTCTCTTTGAAAAGTAAAGGGAAAATTCTTTCATTGTTTTACAATGCTTCCCCTCAGTTCCACTCCACTATGCGCCGAGGCTACTCTTGTCTCTGCAGAGTGCCCTTGTGCTGTGTTTGAACCGGGGACCCTTAGGGCTGAACTCTGAGACCCACTGAAACCAGCCTGGGCCCTGGGGTAGGTCAGAGATGATAACCGCCTACCCTCCTCATGTCTTCCTGCTGAGGTGGGGTGTGTGTGTGTGTGTGTGTGTGTGTGTGTGTGTGTGTGTGTGTAGGGGCGGGCAGGACCCACATCTCTCTCCTTCAGCACTCCAAAGGCCTCCGTTTCCCCCCGTCAGAGACAAGGATCAAGCTCAAAACCAGAGCGAAGCTGACTGAAGACCCCAGGCTACCTCAAGTCTTTATCCTCTGTGTGAAGAATTGAACCTCTTTTTGGTTTAAAGTTGCTTTTTGTTCCCTTTGAAGAGGCAATCCCAGGGCCTTCTCTCACATCGTTCACCCCCACCCTGCACCCCAGAGTTGCCTGGCAAGTTGGCTTGTTCTGAAACAACCTCTACTTGCTTCAGGTCTGGCCTTGGCTGAGGTGACTCGATGTGAGCCCCTCAGAGAAAAGGCCGTAGCTTCTGTGAGAACAGCCTGAGGCCCGTGAAACCGGGGTCAGAACGCTGGCAGCCTGGGGTTAGGGTACGTCCTCAGAGGGGAGGCAGCAGGAAATCCAGAGTATGCAGTCAGGGAGCATCTTCTCCGGAGACAGAGAGGAAAGGCAATGCGGTGGTCCCCGGCCTGACCAGCTTTCCCGCCCCACAGGTGTGTACAGGATGGTGTCGGGGACGTGTGTTTCGTCAGGGACATGACGGTGTTTGGTAAGTGTTAGAGGACACATGGGGCTCCACCCAAGCCAGGGGAACGGCTTCTTTCCTGAAAGTTTCGTTGCATCTACACATGAGCGAGGACTAAGGTGCACCTGATTCAGGCCCTGGTCTTTCTAGTCACGTGCTATGCACCTGAGAGCTGGACAATGACTAAGGGAGCCAGAGGCATGGATGCCTTTGAACAGTGGTGTTCGAGAAGAGTGCTGAAGATTCCATGGACTGCCAAAAGAACAAACAGATATGTCTTAGAAAACAGTGCAGCTGCATGCTCCTTGAAGGCAAAGATGGTGAAGCTTTGTCTCACACACCTTTGGCATGTTACTAAGAAAGGTTATTCCTTGGAAGGGGACATCATGCTTGGAAGGGCAGAGGGATGGCAAAAGAGAAGATGCGTAGCCAAGTGGGTTGACACCATGAGTCCAGCAATTAGTTCAAGATGTCAGAGATGGTGAGGGTGGCACAGAACAGGACAGGGGTCAGATCTGTTGTTCAGAAGGACGCTGTTAGTTGTACTTGACGGCACCTAACAACAGAGATGAGTAAGCTTAACACTGGTGATGCTGTTGTTGTTGTTGTTATGTGCCGTCCAGTCACCTGTGACTCATAGCGACCTTATGGACAATGGCCCTCAACTCTGCCCTGTGCTGTGCTAATCTCACCATCTCCGACACACCCATCCCACTTACCCCAGTCACTGAATCAATCCATCTCATCAAGGGTCTTCCTCTCCTGTGCTGTCCCTCCACCCTCTCAAGCATGACGTCCATTTCCAAGGACTGATCCTGACTTGTAACATGTCCAAAGTATGTCAGACAGAGCTTCAGAAACCTGTTTGTTTTCTTAGCAGTCCATGGTATGTTCAACACTCTTCTCCAGCACCGCAGCTCAAAGGCATTGATTCTCCTTCTATCCTCCCCAGTCATTGTCCAGCTCTCTGATGCATAACAAGTGATTGCAAAGACTATGGCCTGCATCAGGTGCACCTTAGAGTAGTTAAATGTGCTTGAGGGCTAAGGGAAAGGTGAGCTGTTTGAATTCATCCACCCCTCTGAGGGAAGAAAGACATGACTCTCTGATTCGCTAACAATTACCACCTTGGAAGCCCATGGGTCATTCCATTCTGTCTTACAGAGAACTGTGTGTCAGAATCAACACCAAGTCAGGCAGTTTGTTGTTTGGCGGAGGGAGGGATTAAGAGAAAAAAGATGCCAAGAGCTTTTGTACAGCAGGAGAATATTTGTGTGAGGAACATTTCTGTTGTTTATACTATGCTTAGTACCCAATGTAACGCAACCATGCATCTCACAAAGGACATTTTCTGAACTTTCAAATGGAACTTACCAACTCATACAGCAAAATATCTTAGGAATCAAATTCTCTTAGTCATTGAAATACTCATTCCTAATTTAATCACTTTCTCCTGAATGCTTACCTAGACCTGTCTCCTGACTGCTTCAAACACCTATAGCAAGCAAATACTTTTCATAATGGTCTCAGGATGTACTGCGTGTTCTTCAAGGAAATATTATTACTGTGAGCATAAACGTATTTTTCTTTATTTCTATATTGGAAAAAAATATGGGTTGACAAAACGACTGCAAAATTAGGCTTAAGCTTCTCAGAGATTGTGAGGATGGTACAGAAACAAGCAGGGTTTTGTTGGTACTGACTCAGCAACTCCTAATAATTATGACAAAGTCACTCGTGTGCTACAACGCAAGATCCCTGTTGTCTTTTTTGTTGTTGTGTACTGTTGAATCATATCCAAATGGCACAGAAGGAGATTGCCCCTCCTTCTCCAACAGGGCATCTGGTGGATTCAAACCATTCGTCTTTGTGATTGCAGCTCAGCTTCTTGCCACTAGGCCACCAGAGCTCCCTCCCCTGTTGTCCTTAAATGATAATTTTATGAGAGGCAATACACTGATTTTAGGTACAGAAAGCATCCTTGTGTCTTCTCTAGCTATTAGTGAGCTTGGGTGATTTAACTGAATAAGTGATTCCTTTCTGAAGCTGTTGGATCATATTGATTCTTTTGCTTTAATTCTAACTTGCTAAATTTTTTATTCTAGAGAAAAATTTGGAATTTATTTTCTTTAAAACATACATCATAATGTAATGTTTGTAATGTATGCAAACTTTGTGGGTAAACCAGTGTAAAACGTAAAAAAAGAATTACAAGAAATAAAATAAATTAAAAAACAAACCTTTCATACTGTGAATATAATAACTATCCCATGACAAAAAAACCCTCATTAAATTTTTAAAAAATTGGTTTACTTACAAAGTTTGTATATATTGTGTTTCACACTATTCTTCATTCTCATTGTGTTTCATACAATCATTCTCGTGCATTATATTTTATAAAATTAATCACCACTGGACCTTGCCCATCATGACCCTGTCTTTTCTCCCGGATCCTTCCCATTTCTTCCCACCCCTCCCTTCACCCACCAAACTGTGCAACCCTGTGGTTTCGTCCCTACTCATCTTCAGCCCTCCGCCCTTGAGATGCCATACTTATTTTACCAGTTATCCTTCTATTTTTACAATAATGGTCTTATGCAGTATTTGCCCTTAACCTCATTAACACTTTGACAATACCCTACTTGTACTCCATTTCTTTTATGATAAGATGCTGTCAGTCCCAAAGCCCTTCTTTTTTCTTCTTCTTTTTAATAATTTTAATGAATATTTACAGATATTTTGGATTTCCATTCATTCATTGCTGCACTTCTCTCCCTGCCCAGCCCTCCCCCCCCCCCCCCCCCCCAGTTTGCTCCTCTATTTCAAAAGTAAAAGAAAGACTCCCTCCCTGGTACACAATCCCCCGCACCCCTCCCACAGCCCCAAGTACATTCCATTATGCAACCCCAGTGGCTCATAAATTAATGAGTCCGTTTTCCTCACTGGACCTTCAGAGCCCACTTTGTCCCTGGGGACTGCCCTGCCAGCCTCCTAGACCTCCTTCCATCCCTCTACCCTCCCTCGGCCTTTCCTCACAGCACTCGGCCCCCAGCTCTGCTGTAGTGCGGGGGGGGGAGGGGGGGCGGGGGGAACTGCTTTGTCCTGTTGTAATTAGGTGCCATCAAGCTGAGTGACCCTACGAACAACAGATCTGAACCCTGCTTGAACCTGTCCATCCTCTCATCTCTGATACACTTGAGCCCATTGCTGCAGTCACTGGGTCAGTCCCTCTCGTTGGCACGCCTTCCTCTCTTTCACCGACCCTCCACCTTTCCAAGCATGACGTCCTTTCCCAAGGACTGACCCCTCCTAACAACACGTCCAAAGTATGGGAGACGAAGCCTCACTGTCCTTGCCTCCAAGGAGCACCCCGGCTGCACCTTCTCCACGACAGACTTGTTTGTTCTTTTGACAGTTCATGGGATGCAAATAAGTCTCAACTTGGCAAAGAGTCTGGAAACTTATCTTAACAATCTGAGACTCAGTTTCCTCATTTCACAATGAGTTTATCATATTCATTCCTGGCTTTCCTGATTGTTGAGAGGGTTACAGGAAGCAGTACTCTCAGTGCCATCTTAGATGTGGTATGTTGTTACTATTATATGCCGTGAAGTTGGAACCGTCTCATAGCTGACCTTCCAGGGGACTTTCACAGGCAGTAAATTGCATGGGAAGAGATTGCCCATCTTTCTTCTGCAGAGCAGCTTGTGGATTCGAACATTGTGTCTTTGGCATTGCAGTGCCGCTTCTTACAACTAGGCCACTAGAGTTTTCCAATGTTGTTGTTGTTGTGTGCCATCAAGTCAGAGCCAACCCAGAGCTGACCCTCCACCAGGTTTTCAGAGGCAGTGAAATGCATGGGAGGAGATTGCCTATCCTTATTCCATGGAGCAGTTGGTGGACTCAAACTGTGTACCTTTGGGATTGCAGCATAGCACCTATCACTGTTCATTTTAACAGAGCCACAGACAAGAGAGACGGTTGTAGGAACCCTGGGTCAGGCACAGTTTTGGACATAAGATAGTGAGTGAACTGGCATTTCCTCTCCCAAGGCCACTGGCCCTTCACCTGTCTAAGCATTTGGGAAAAGATTCGCTGTCAGTCGTCTTCAGGCCCAAACTACCATGATTCAGCGAGGAACAGAGCACCACAGGTCATGGTTTCTGCCTACAGAAGCTCACCTGGGCTTTTCCTTCCTCAGAGAACCTGCCAGACAAGGCCGACAGGGACAGGTACGAGCTGCTGTGTCCAGACAACACCCGGAAGCCAGTGGATAAGTACAAGGAATGCCACCTGGCTCGGGTCCCGTCTCACGCCGTCGTGGCCCGAAGTGTGGATGGCAAGGAAGATTTGATCTGGGAGCTTCTCAGCAAGGCTCAGGTATCTTCCTCCCATCCTCATCTGCCTCCTCCCCTCCTGCGTCATGGTCCCCCATGGGGTTTATGGGCTTTTTTTTCCCTTCTGTAGATTTTCCTGTGTTCAGAACACAGGCTAGGGCGGGAGAGAGAGACATGGTCCACATCACCCACTTCCCGGTAAGATGATTTAGCTGCGTTTTGTAGACGCTTGTTAGGTGCCACTGTGTCAGGTATGACTCATAATGACCCTATGAGCAACTGGAGATCTGAGCCCAGTCCTGTCCTGTGCCGTCCTCCTCATCTCTGACACACTTGAGCCCATTGCTGCAGTCACTGTGTCAGTCCACCTGGTTGAAGATCTTCTCTTTTGCTGACCATCCACCTTTCCAAGCATGATAGACAACAGATGCTGTGGCAGAGACTCGCCCTCGAGTCCTCCTGGATTTGTGAGGGGTACACACACTGAGTGCGCATGTGCATTACCACCAGGGGGAATCAGTACAACCTTGGGCACACCGGTTGGGCACTTGGCAAAGGGTAGAGGCACTGGTTTGCTGAGCTCTCTGGGGAGATTCTTGAGCCCTGAGATACCCATGCCTCCTAGCTGTGTGCCATTTCGCACAGGACATTTGAAAGGACATCACCAGCAATGAGGAATGGCTCTGCGCCCATCACGGGAGCCTTAGGCAGAGGGTCCTTCATGTTATGGAAATCAGAAAAGGCAGGGGGCTGCTTATTTCAGCTGGTCCTTCAGGGGCAACCTGAGAGGGGCAGATACCCTGGATTCCTGACCTCCGGCCCCAGGGGCAGGAGACTGCAGTGCCAGAGGCTGGGCAAGGAGACCCGCCATCCCACTGCCCAGGAGGCCATTGCACTGAAGCTTCAGTGACTGCCTGCCTGAGGGTACACACAGCAGCAGCCCAGCATTGGAGAGGGCGCCCTGCCTGACACACAACTCCCAGTGCCTTCGTTCAGGTCTAGAGGCAGCCCTGGGGCCTCTGGGGGCTTAGTGGTAAGGAGTTACACTGCCCACACAAAGATACATAGTTCGAATCCACCAGCTGCTTCATGAGAGAAAGATGGACAGTCTCGTCCTGTGACTATTTACTGCCTCTGAAAACCTGCTGGAGGGTCAGTTTGGACTCAATAGCACACAACAGCCCCAGCAGGGACATCCCTGCTCTTTCCCAGAGGCCATGCAGGTGGACACTGGCTTGGCTGGGGAACACCTGGACCGCTCTGGAGGGCCTTGAACAGGGGGCTTCACTCTATTCCGCTTTCCTTGCTTGACATCATGCCTTCTTCGTGGTTCCCTTTTCTCTTTTGAACAGGAGCACTTTGGAAAGGACAAGAAGGCAACAGAGTTCCAGCTCTTTGGCTCCCCTCATGGCAAGGACCTGCTGTTCACAGACGCTGCCCAAGGCTTTGTGAGGGTGCCCCCTAAGGTGGATGCTCTGATGTACCTGGGATCTGAGAGCAGTGAAGCCATTCGGATTCTAAGGGAAGGTGTGTGGAGGCCTGAGGTGGGCGAGAGCCATGAGGTTGAGCAGTGAGGCTGGGCCGTGGGGCCCTGGGGCCGTGGATTGAGACTTTCTAGGCTCCTGCGAGGAGCCAAACATATTCCATTTTATATAGCACTTCCTTTGAACAACTAAACCCCTGGGAGGGAAATTTTCCCCCAAGTCCTAAAGCTTTGTCCTGGACTGCCACCCAGAACAGTAACTGTTGTTGATTGCCTTCCAGTTGAGCACGATCATTGTTGTTGTTGTTGTTAAGTGCCGTCGAGTCGCAGGTGACTCACAGCGACCCTATGAAGGAGAGTCCTGGACACTTGGATGCTTTCATCCTCTCTCCAGGTTCATAGGGTTTCCGGAGGCAAACTATTATGGAAGTGGATGCCACTCCTCCTTCCAAGGTTGTTTTAATCAGGGAGCTCCACCCCAATCTCTGTCCGCATTGGGTAACCAACCATTAACGCACTTGACACATCAGTGTCACAGTGTTCAGCCTCACAGCAACCACAAGTGACCGCTGTATGGCAAGTGGACACACCAGGGCTATACGACCTAGAGGAATGTCTGAACAAAAACAATGAAAGACAGGCCCGAGGGCCGCGGATTAAAAGTCACCCACCTTTGGTTTGGTAGCATCGCTTTCTGTCCGATGGACAGAAAGCAAAAGCACGATCATAGAGACCCTATAAACAAAAGGCCTGAAGCCCCTCTACAACTATAAACATTTATCAAAGTTCATAAAGTTTCCAGAAGTTGTTTGGGGAGTAGATACCACTTCTGCTTCCAGAGAACAGTAACTATTAATGTTCAAATGTTTTGAACTTCATGTATCAATGTGCCAGTGAAGTGTTTCTACAGCAGTATGAGTCCACGTACCCTTGAATGTATCACTGTGCCAGGTGAAATGTTTCAACATTGGGCCCAAGTAGTGCAACACTGGAAGCGAGGCAAGTTGTTGTTTGTTGTTGTTATGTGTTGTTGAGTCGCTTGTGACTCTTAGCAACCCTACATACAACAGCCCGGAACTCTAATCTGTCCTGTGCCAATCGCACTGTCTCTGACACTCCCATCCCAATTATCCCAGTCACTGAATCAATCCACCTCATAGAGGGCCTTCCCCTCCTGCGCTGTCCCTCCACCCTTCCAAGCATGATGTTGCTCTCCAAGGACCGGTCTCTCCTTACAACATGTCCAAAGTATGTCAGACAAAGCCTCAGAATCCTTGCCTCCAAGGAGCAGCCTGGTTTAACCCTTTCCAGGATGAATCTGTTTGTTTTCCTAGCAGTCCATGGTACCCTCAATACTCTTCTCCAGCACCAAAGCTCAAAGGCATCAATTCTCCTTCTATCCTCCTTCGTCATTGTCCAACTCTCTGATGCATAACAAGTGATCGCAAAGACCATGGCCTGTATCAGACCCACCTTAGTCTCCAGAGTAACACTATTGCTCTTCAGTACTTTGAAGAGGTCCCTAACAGCAGACTTTCCCATGGCAATACATCTTTTAATTTCCTGGCTACTGGTGCCGCGAGTGTTGACTGTGGAGCCAAGCAGACTAAAGCTGTGAACAATCTCAGTCTCTTCACCATCCATCCTGATGCTGCTAATTGGCCCAGTGGTGAGAATCTTTGTCTTCTTGACAAAGGCAAGTTAATGGCATAAAAACCTCCGAGCCAATGCCAGAAAGTGGGTGAGCCTGCTGCATTTCTGGGCCCCCTGCTGTATAGTGAATAGAGAACCCCACCTGTAATCCTTCAGTGTGTCTCTTACTTAATACAACACTACCCAACACAGGAACTCTGCTCGACCCCACCCGTTGTCTCTATTCCCTTGGGGGGGGGGAGAGGGAAGAAGGAATTGTCCTGGGAATGTCACAAGCCACCCTGACTACGGTCAGTGAGGACCCCACAGCCACTGGCAGCGAACCTTCAGGCCCATCTTGGTGTTTCTCCAGCACCCAGGCCCTTCCCTGCTCGTCCTAGGTGCCGCTGCCTCCAGGAAGGTGCGGTGGTGCGCCGTGGGCCAGGAGGAGAAGGCCAAGTGTGACCACTGGAGTGCGGTGAGTGGAGGTGCCATCCTGTGCACCACGAGGGATGCCACCGAGGACTGTCTGGCTGCCATCACGGTAGGAAGCGCCCCCCTCCACGTCCGGGCACAGATGCCCCTCTGCCAAGTCTGGCATTGAACTCCCCCTTTCCAGTCACCACCCCAGCAGCTGCAGGGCCGCAAACACACATGTCCCGTGCAGCCCATCCAGACCCGGGACAGACTGGAGTCCAAAAAGAAGTTCAGAGCCAGTCCAAGACCTAGAACCACTGTGCCCCAGCCCCGAGATCTAGGGAACTTGAGGGGTGCCCAGCCCAAGGCTGCGGGAAGTGGGGGAAGTGTTCAAAGGCGTGGTTAGCACCAGTGTGGGTTGGGATTGCAAATTGCCCTTTGCAATTCTAATTTTTTTTTAAATTATTTTTTTCTGTGTGTACTGTCAAACCAGATCTGACTGGTACAGGAAGAGATTGCCCCTCCTCCTCCACCAGAGCATCTGGTGGATTCAAGCCATGTTCCTCTGGGACTGCAGTGCAGCTTCTTGCCACTAGGCCACCAGAGCTCCTTTGCCCTTTGCAATTCTTTTTTTTTTTTTTTTGGTTGACAAATAGCAAGTTTAATATTCTGGCAAAGACACACACACACACACACACACACACACACACACGTCTTAGGAACATGCCTGCCTGCAGGGGTAATTGCATTCTCTCTTATCTGTCCGAGATGTTGACTGGTAGATCAAACATTCCCAGACCTCAACACAAAACAAAGACATCTTCCGGGATATCCTATGATATCTATTGGAAAACAAGAAGGTATAACATTCCTAGAATTCTGAGGCCTTTGGTCCCTCCCTATTCATTAGCATACTGCTTCCTGGAGTTGTTTACTGTAGAAAGGATGGTCAAGCCAAGATGAGTGGTCCTGCTGTTTTTACAATGCATCGCTGATCCTGCTTTGCAGGTTAGCCAGCTCCTGACAGCTCCTCCCTCTTAATATGATAAAGTATGGGATGTTGCCTGTCTTAGGTGGATATGAGACCTCAAACTCAAGTTGCCCGTCTTTGGGATCATAGCTGTCAAAGCTACTCCCTGTTTTAGGATCATGAGCGAGTCTCACTCCTTCCCCGTCTTTGGCTTACACATCCTGCATTTGTCTGGGGAGGGCCTTAAGTTGAATTCCTGCCCTTTGCAATTCTTAATCATAAATTCCATTTCTCTCCTGGTTATAAAAAACTGTCAAACTGGTTGAGAAATGGAAAGGAAATAGTCACTTAACTGCTGAGTTAGGGAGTTGTGTTGTTACTAACTTTCCATTTCTCTTCAAGTATGTAAGGGATCTCAGATGGCCTAGTGGCAAGGCGTTCCACTGCCATCACAAAGCTTTGTGGTTTGAATCCTCCACATCAGGGACAAAGATGGTCAGTTGGTCTCCTCCTGTGCAATTTTACAGCCTCTGAAAACCCACTGCGAGATCAGTCAGCTATGAATTGGTTCTGACTCAATGGCACATAAAAACATTAGCAAGTAATAAAGTCTTATGGTTAGAAAAAAATGTTTGAAAAGAATGAAATTTGACAAATTTAAGAGATTGTGCAAACAATAAGTTTCTCATTTTGGTAAATCTCCCTGGAACCAAGTCATTAGATTAAAAGCTTCCTATTTATACAGTCTTCCAAATTTGCTAGTTTTAAGCTTTTAAGTTCATTTGAGTGCATTAACATTGCCTACCATGGACTGCCAAGAAAACAAACAGATTCATCCTGGAGAGGGTTAAACCAAGCTACTCCTTGGAGGCAAGGATTCTGGGGCTTCGTCTGACATACTTTGGGCATGTTGCAAGGAGGGACAGGTCCTTGGAGAGGGACATCATGCTTGGGAGGGTGGAGGGACAGCGCAGGAGGGGAAGACCCTCTATGAGGTGGATTGATTCAGTGACTGGGGTAATCGGGATGGTGTGTCAGAGGCAGTGCGATTGGCACAGGATAGAGCAGGGTTTAGGGCTGTTGTACATAGGGTCGCTATGAGTCGCAAATGACTCGACGGCACATAACAACAACAACAACATATATTAACCAGTCAATAAATGATAGTTGTGATCGTAATTTTATTATTATGTTATTTAAAGTATTTAATACAACTGGTATCCTTTCCTAAGTAATGGAGCATTCATTTAAAATGTTTTAATACCTGTGTAGGAGTTAAACCAAGTACCTCTGACAAATGGATTAAACCAATTTCTAATTATCTATATTTGTATTGCTCTCCAAACCACCTGCTCTCATAGATGGCATGACATTGAACATCTTTCTATCTAGGGCTTTGTCATTCTGTTTGAGCTTTAATGTTATCATTATCATACCTTTAAAATACGTTGCTGCCGGGAGCTCTGGTGGCCTAGTGGCAAGAAGCTGCACTGCAATCCCAGAGGTACATGGTTCAAATCCACCAGATGCTCTGTTGGAGAAGGAGGGGCAATCTTCTCCTGTACCAGTCAGATCCGGTTTGACAGTACACACTAAAAAAATAATAATATAAAATAAAAATAAAAAAATACATTGCTGCTATGTTCCTTTGAGGTGTAACTGACTTACAGTTGACCCTCCGACAGTTTTTCAGAGGTCCCTAGTTATGTGATGTATAAACTATATCCATATATTACACTGTTGTTGTTGTTGTTGTTGTGTGTCATGAAGTCAATTTCAACTCTTAGCAACCTGATAGGACAGAGTAGAACTGCCTTATAAGTTTTCATTGGCTATAGACTTCACGCCCTTGGTACCAGCAGTCAGGATCAGGAGATAGGTAGCACTGGGAAAGTCTGCTGTCAGGGACTTCTCCAAAGTCTTGAAGAGCAATAATGTCATACTAAAGACTAAGGTGCACCCGATCTAGGCCATGACCTTTCCCATTACCTGCTAAACATCAGAGAGTTAGATATGAATAAAGATGATAGGAGAAGAAAGGATGCCATTGATTTATTGTGTTGCAGAAGAGTACTGAATATTTTGTGGACTGCCAAAAGAAAAAACAGGTACGTCTTGGAGAAGGTGCAGTGAAAGTGCACCTTAGAGGCAAAGATGAGGAAGCTTCATCTCACATATTTTGGAAATGTTGTTAGGAGAGGTTATTCCTTTGAAAGGGACATTATGCTTGAAAAGGTGAAGGGTGAGTGAGAGGAAGACCCTTAACCAGGTGGATTGACAGAGCGACTACAACAATGGGCTCAAGTGTGTCAGAAATTGTGAGGATGGCACAGAATAGGACAGGGCTCTGATATGTTGTTCACAGGGTCGCTGTGGGTCATACTTGATTTGACGGCTCCTGTCAATGACAATAACAACAACTTTATGGGCAAAGATCATCCGATCCCTTGTGGCATGGCTAGTAGGTTCAAATTCCTGATCTTTCATTTAGCAGACATGTGCCACCAGGATGTCTTTAAGTTATTAGTGTATAACTGTGTATAATAATATGCACTGCATGGTTTGGAATTGGGACGGGAGTGTGTCAGGGATGTATCCTGTCTCCATACTTGCTCAATCTAAATGCTGAGCAAATTACCTGAGAAGCTGGATTCTATGAGAGGAATGGGGCATTAGGATTGGAGGAGGACTCATCAATAACCTATGTTATACAGACGACACAACCTTACTTGCTGAAAGTAAGGAGAACTTGAAGCACTTGTTGAGAAGATCAAGGAATGCAGCCTTCAGTATGGATTGCCTCTCAATAACAAGAAAACAAAGATTTTTACCCCTGGACCGATAGACAACATCATGATGGATGGAGAGGAGATTGAAACTGTCAACAGCTTCATCTTGCTTGGATTAACATCGTTGGTATGAGCAGTCAGGAAATAAGGAGACATATTGCATTGGGAAAAATATGCAGTTAGGGACCTTTCCAAATTATTGAGGAGTGATGTCAGTTTTAAGACTACGATGCATCTGATTTTGGCCATGGTCTTTCTGATTACTTGCTATGCATCTGAAAGCTGGACAATGAATAAGGATGACAGGAGAAGAATTGACACCTTTGAGCTGTGGTGTTGGAGGAGAGCACTGAACATCCCATGGATGGCCAAGGGAACAAACAGATGTGTCTTGGAGAGGGTACAGCCGGGGTGCCCTTTGGAGGCAAGAATGATGAGACTTTGCCTCACATACTTTAAGCTTGTTGCTAGAGGCTGCTATCTTTTGGAGAAGGACATGATGCTGGAATGGGTGAAGGGTTGGTTAAGGAGAGGAAGACCCTCAACCAGGTAGACTGACATGGTGACTGCTGCAATGGGCTCTTGTGTGTCAGGAAGTGTGAGGATGGCGCAGGATAGGACAGGGCTCAGATATTTTGTTCACAGGGTCACCACAAGTTGTGCTCAGCAGCATCTAAAAAAACCCTCCAACAATGAGTCTCAGGTGACTTGATGGCACCTAACAGCAAGTTACATTGGAGTTCTGTTGGCCCAGTGCTCTCAGCAGTTTTCAAACTACCAGCTGGTCATTGGGAGTAAGCAGTAGTCTGGAGGGTCCGTGGTACAGACATTAAGACCTAAAGTTGAGAAATTAATTGTCAATGGTTTTATCTTACTGGGATCCACAATCAACACTGTTGTCACCAGCAGTCAAGATATCAAAAGTCACATTGCATTTGGCAAGACTGCTGTCAGGGACCTCTCCAGATTGCTGAGGAGCAGTGGAGTCAATTTGAAGACATTAGGTGTACCTGTTCCCAGCTATGGTCTTTTCAGTCACTTGCTTTGTATCTGAAAGATGGACAATGAATGAAGATGACAGACGAATTACTACCTTTGATCTGTGGTGTTGGAGAAGAATACTGAACATTCCGTGGACTGCCAAAAGAACAAACAGTTGTGTCTTAGAAAAAAAAATGCAGCCAGAGTGCTTCTTGGAGGCAAAGATGGTAGAAGCTTCATCTCACATGCGTTGGGTATATTCCCTAAAGGAGGGAAATGTGCCTTGGAAAGGGGCATCATACTTGGAAAGCTGGAGGATCAAAGGATAAGAAGACACCCCTTTCTTTCTACTGTGTCAACCAGGTGGATTGACATGGTGATGGCTGCAATGTGCTCAAGTGTGTCTGAAATGATGACACTTGCACAGGATAGGACAGGGTTCAGATCTGTTCTTCATAGGGTTCCTGACTTGTATCAACTCAATGGCACACAACAACAAAGTTTAAGTATTACTGACACCATCTATTGGACAAAATGTCTAACCTCTCAGAGCTTCAGATTATCACCATGTGCCCACATTAGTGGGCTTTGTGCGGAATAATGAGGCAATAACTGAGAAGAACTGTACACAGTAAGGGAGATAGAGATAGAGATGATAGAGATAGAGATGATAGAGATAGATATCTCAGGTTTTTTCCTATTTCCTTTACCCACTCCTCCCTCCACCATCAAATTGTGTGACCTTCGGAAGCAGGAGTAGCATCCATTTCCTAAACAATATGCCTCTGGAAACCCTATCAACTTTGATAAATTCTGATGGTTGTTGAGGGGCTTGAGGCCTTTTGTTCATGGGGTCTCTATGAGTCGTGCTAGACTCAAAGGCGAGCAACAACAATAAGATGATTATGAGGGTTGCAGAGTGGATTATATTTGGGGGTAGGGGGTGGGGTTTGGGAAGGTGCGGGGGGGGGGATTGTGTACCTATGTGGGAGTTTTTCTTTTGCTTTTCAAGGAGAGGAGCAAAGGGGCGGGGGGTTTGTGCAGGGAGAAGGGTGCAACAATGAATGAATGGAATTCCAAAATCTCTGTAGATGTTCATTGAAATGAAAAATAAACAACCTAAATTTTAAAAAAAAAGATGATTAACCACCCCCTCACCCATCCTCACCCCCCCTTAGATCCTCAAGAATGACACTTTTTAAATAAGTTTTCCCTTAATAAGGACTCTTTTAAGATTAGTTTTTGCTGTTAAAATGGCTACTATTTTATAATCAATTTATAGAGGCTAAAAGCAAAGAGTATTTTATCTCAAATTTTCTTATCTGTATCTTAGGATATTTTTCCCCCTTCGTCTGTTGATAGAGAAATTAATTTATTTAAATTAGTTAATTGCTGATAAATAATGCAAATATGAAAAATTAATTGGAGGGTGTGTGTGTGTTTGTGTGTGGTGTGTACCGTCAAATCAGATCTGGCTGGTACAGGAGATTGTCCCTCCTTCTCCGGCAGAGCATCTGGTGGTTTCGAACCGCGTGCCTCCGTGATTGCAGTGCAGCTTCTTGCCACTAGGCCACCAGAGCTCCCTAATTGTATTTTTATAGTGAGAGAGCTCTGAGTATAGTGTTAATGGAATTACAGGCACAAGTTTTATTTCCATCATCTGGAGAGAAGAGATATAACCTGTATTTTACACAGGTTAAGAGTGTATTTTACACAGGTTAAGAGTGTATTTTAAACAGATTAAGAGCAGCCCCTGGTCCTAGTTGTGTGGCTCATTGAGGGAGTGACAGTGGCCACAAGAAGAGAAGTGAGAGCTTGCTCAGGACTGATTGGGGGTCTCAGAGGGCACAGGCGGGCATCCAGGGAGCACCACTTGGGTTGGTCTATCACTTCCGGGTCAGCAAGGCCAAAGGCATGTCCAATTCTCTAGTCTCCATCTTTTCCATGGTCAAAGCTGAGGGTGAGTGAAGCTTTGGGTAGTTATGTGGACATATACCAGGAGGCCAATGTCATGGAAACCTTTGGGAACTGGTGAGTGGGGGAGTGGCCTCACTGTAGCAGTCTGATTTTTACCCTCAGAAAGGAGATGCTGATGCCATGAGCTTGGACGGAGGATTTATGGAGACAGCGGGCAAGTGTGGCTTGGTGCCTGTCCTGGCCGAGAACTACAGTAAGTGGAGGGCTTCTGGATTTTATATCTTGTGAGCCGTGAACACAGACAAGAAGATGACTTAGTTCCATGATGACTTACCATCGAGATAAGGTCTCTTGGAGTGTCTAAAGAGCTTGTATATGCCATTCCCTTTCCTTTCAAGTAAAAACAGTTATGATAAAGACACAATTTAGACAGGGAGAAAGTCAAGACTTTGGTACTTATACAATGATAGTGGAAAGTATGGTGTGAAGTTGGCCACAGGTCATGACAAACAGCTCTTGCATTAAAGTTGTCCACTAGTTCAAGGTAGCAAATCTGTTGGCTCAGCCAATGGCTTAGAAGAAAGGAAATCATGTTTTGTCATAGGTTGTTATTATTGTTAGGTAACTTTGAGTTGACTACTACTCATAGGGACTCTATGAACAACTGATCTAAACTTGACCTTGTCTTGTACTATCCACATCATCCTGCAATGCCCAAGTCCATTGTGGCAGTCACTGTGTCAATCCATATCATTGAGGGTCTTCCTCTCGTTTGTTGACCTTCTACCTTTCCCAGGATGATGTCTCTCTCCAATGACTGATTCTTCCTGAGAATCTGCCTGAAGGAAGGAAGATGGAGTCTCAGCCTCCTTACCTCTAAGCAGCACTGTGGTTGCATTTCCTTCAAGGGCGATTTGTTTGTTCTTTTAGAAGTCCACGGTATATGCAGTACTCTTCTCCAACACCACAGTTCAAAGGCGTCAGTTCTTCTCCAGCCTTCCTTCCTTATCACCAGCTTTCAGATGCGTAGGAAGCAAAGGAAAGTACCATGACTTGGATCAGGCACACGTGAGTCTTTAAACTGGCGTCCTTGGTCTTTGGACTTTCGGAGAGGTGCTTGATAGTTGATATCCCCAGTGCAGCACATCTCCTGATGTCTGGACTGCTGCTGCTACCGTGTGTGAGGATTGTGGATCCAAGTAAAATGAAATAATTGGCAATATTGATCTTTTTCTCCATCTACCATGATATTGCCTATTGGCCCACTGAGGAGGATTTTTTTCTTTTTTTTCTCCCCTTATTTTATTTAGCGACTCGACACATAACAACAACAACAA